AAATTGTACTGAATACACCATTTACCATATTCAATATGTGTACATACATGCATATACACACCTGTACATTAAAGACATGCAGATATGTGAATCACTGCTCAGAATTTAGTTTCCTGCTTTTACCACTTAATACATCAGGAACCTCTTTTCCACTTGCTCGTATATTTTGATCTTTTCAAAAAGGTTGCATGGAATTCAATTGACTATACTTCACACTAATAAACCACTTTGTTCTCACTCTATACATGGGTAGCTTTCAATTTTCTGCCACTTCGTTGTAGTATTACTAGACCTAAACTTTGGTGCACCACCTTTATTTCTTCAAGAAAAATTTCCCCAAGTGAAATTGTACAAATTGTATTTTTTAAATCATGGATCAGTTAATGTTAAGAATGTTAATAAGAATGTTAATGTTAAGAACATTAAGAGAAACCTTTAACATGCAATAAAAAGTTTGAAGGCCTTTTTGAAACACAAGGTACCTGGGCTCTTTGGCAATCCTTTCAGCTCTAACATACACTGGAGGTTCTCTAGAAATTGGCTCATAGTAGTTAATGCTAGCTATTTGTGTGTAAATGAGAGCCCTACTTAATAAGACATGTGTTGTCTTCCTAGGACTAATCATACGTGTTTTTATTTTAAGTTGAGAAATAATATGACTAACACGTACCTTTTGACTATTTGAGGTAGTGAGAAAAGTAAAAATCTTGGAACAACAGTGTAGATAATGTGATGGAGAGATAGATCATGGCTATTACTAACTCCCTGTCAAATGCTCAGTTACTTAGTGGAAAATTAAATTGGTTTTTAATAACAATGAAGTTGTAATCCAACCTACTAAACTGACCATGAAAACATCACTAATAGGCAGCAACTGTCTGTCTGGACATCACACTTTTAAAAAGCCCTTTGCTATGTATGTATCCTTAGGACTTTTTTTTTTTTTTCCGAGATATCATTAACAATTAAAGACTGGGTTTGGGGGGAGTAAGGTAACAAAAAAAAATTCATTTACTTGGCAAGAAAGGTGCTTCTCACACTTAATGAACAATTTGTGGTGCCTCAATGTGCAAAAAAGGATGGGTTCTGGGGATTATGGTACCTCTCCACTCATGTTACTGTGAGAGTGCTCTCAAGGGTGTTTTTGAAATGTGTAGATGAACACAATCATAAACAAAAGAGACTGAACAGTCTTTGACAGTTAAAAAAAAGTCAATTAACTACAAAATGCCAAAGAGAGCTAAGACTGAAAACAATTTCAAAGTGATTTGCATATTCAAAGAACTCATAATTTTAAAGATTTTTTTTTTACCAATTTATAGATTATAGTCATGCAATTACTTACCAGCCCATTCAATATAAAAATTAAACAAATCGCCTACCTTTTAAAAGCAGTTACACTTTTTATGGGTTCATTTTAATTATTAAAACAATTATCTGAAATGTAAGCTTGGTGAATGTTGACAATAGGTAATTCTCTTCTCAATCTCAAAGTCATTTATCACTATGGGTGGTAAACATTTAGTATTTATTGGTTGATCATTGAGAAACAAGGTGAGTGACCAAAATAAATAAAATCTTAGAATCTTAAGTAAAGGAGGAATCCAATGCTAAGAAGCTTGAGAGGGAGGGCAGAAGGCAAAGGGTCCCATGGTTTGGAAAAAATACTGAATATACTCAACATATTTATTTTCTTAATTACAGAAAGAAATTCTCAAACTCTTGGTTTGTGAGAATATGCACACAAAATGCATATTCCTTTATTTTTTATACATTTAAAAAACTTTTTATCATATTTCTTTATTTGTGGAACTATAAGTACTATACTGTCAATGATATACTAAATTGCAATTTAGATTGCAATTCCTAGCGTATTAACACCAACAAAATGTTCAATTTTCTCCCATTGAAAGTAAAATAACCACTTGGCAACCATGAGAGTAATTACTGACTCATGGCTAGAATTATCAGTAGATGCTAAAACAAGTGGGTGAAAAGTTGGGAAAACAGGGTATTTGCAGTATCTGTCCAAAAGTTACTATTTCTAAAAGAAAAAAAAAAGTACTATTTCAGTAAAGGCACCAAGGTAAAATATGTAGGCAAACAGGTAAATCAAATATTGAGAGTCAGGATATTTTCATCTATTTTAAGTAAAATTGTAGCACTGTTTTGGGGGACATGAATTTATATAGATGTGTCACCTGTAAGGATGACAGGATTTTAAATGATCAACAGTTTCAAGATTTCTACATTTTATGTTAATTAATACATTAACTCAAAGTGTACTGTCAAAATAGATTAAAAAAAATCAATGCTCAACTATTTTCTACAAGTCAGCATTTCACATATAAAAACAGATTCAAAGAAACTGGTAGGAAAAAATATAGCAGGTCAACAGAAACATAAAAAGGCTACAGTAGCTATAGTAAGATCAAATAAAATAGACCTCAAAGACAGAGGTTATCAAAGGTACACATTTCCTAATGATAAAATGGCCTGCTAATCAGCAAGATGTAACAAGCTTCAATTATCTTCTGTAAATAAAGTATTACTGAAACACAGCCCTGGCCATTTATTTACACTTTTTTTTTTTCTATCACTGATTTCACATTACAATGGCAGAGTTGAGCAGCTGTGAGAAACACTGTTGAAATCTCACAAAACTTAAAAATATTTACTAGTCCTTTTACTGAAAATGTATGCTGACTCTTACAAAGGAATTAAGTCACATACAGGACATATATTTGGCCCAGTATAAGGTAAGTCAAAATCATCCACAGCTATTTGAAAAGAGGAAAGGAAATTAAAATAGGGTTATGAGTTTTAGGAAATATACCTTGATTAAAGAAACAGCTATATCATATGTAAATGAACCTCAGGTAGAGGAACTTGAAACTTAAAACAAATTGCCAATCCTAGCTCAAGACAGAATTGCATTACCTCCCTAACATAACCAGTCTTTGCAACATACAATAGAACCAAAAGGGTATTAATCTGATTGATTGCCCCTTAAAACACATTAAGTTTTAATAAATACTTTTTTCTGACATTACAGTTTAGTATAAACTCTAAACTGCCAAATCTAAAGAGAAGCTTATATTTGTAAATGACAAGTGTAAATGCTAAAAGGAACCATGTTAATGTATACTTGTATACAACTCTTCATAGTAAAATATTTTGAGAATTTGAACAACTTTAATATAATGATGCATTTACTTAGTTTTGTTTTCTCCATTAGAAAATAGACATACACACACAGAAATCATTTGTAAAATCCTGGCTATGGTGGTGGCTCAAATTTGTGTACAAAAAAAATTGTTAAACACACACACGCTCACACACAAGTATTTTTAATCTACTATACACAGGACCAAAAGCACCAAACACACTCTGGTTAGGAAACATATTAGGGACAATTGAAAAATGCTACAAAAGACAGAAAGATCAGGAAAAACAGATGTGAAGATGACAATTAGTACTCACATTTAAAGGTGAAGTATTTTTTTCCTCTTCAGAGAAGAGATTAGAAATAAGAGGTTAAAAGTATGTCAATGGTTGCTGTATATGCTTAGGCAGACTTTAAATATAGGCAAATTGAATAGTATAAATAAGCACATATTTACAATAATGCATAAGATCTGCATGTTCAGCACGGTGGCAATTAAAATTTGTTAGTTACAGCAGAAAACATCAATTCTTCAGTTGCACTAGCCACATTTTTAAGTGCTCTATAGTCACAAATAAGCATAGGCTCTGCTAGCAGATAGTGCATATAAAGAATATTTTCGTCATCACTAGATGTTTCACTGGGCAGCAATGGATTATTAATCAAGTCCAGTGTCTTGAAATGTCCAAATTGTAAACAGTGTGCTTTCTCCTTGAACTCCTGCTTTACTTATTTATTATTTATCTTACAGAATTTTTTATTTTACAGAACCTTTTGAAATTCAGTCAAATTTATCCAACTTAAATATATTTTGCATGTTAAAATGAAAATGCAGTTTCAAGAGCAACAAAATGCATCTTACAGAACAAGTAACGATGCATAACTGCACCATTGGCAAAATTATACAAGTGCTTACAAATATATAAAATTACTATGGTTTCATTATTCAATGTAATTAATATAATATGAAAATATATTTGATTTCTAAAAATAAATTCAGATTTACTGTTAGAAAAGTCTTAAATTCACTTAAGTCAAATAGAGAAATAGTGAATAGTATGGCATGAATGTCAAAATGCTGATTTAAGTTTCTTAAAACACTACATAGAATACTTGATTTAAAGTGTACTTAAAAATTCCCTTTTATCAAAGAAATACACGAATAAGGTTATTTAACCAATGCTTTAAAATTAAATGGTTCAAATGAAAATACTTAAATGAAAGATAACGCATCGAATGCAATTGAAACAAATACAATTCTGATCACACACAGCAAGGGTAGATTTCAAATTATCCTGTAAATCATAAAAAAATCATACTTGATTGAAAATATTATGGTAGGTCAATATACAACATTTTAAAAAGAGAAACCAAGCTGATGTTATGTAATTATGTATAAATAATTGTAAGGTATTACAGCTTATAATGATAATGCAGTCATTCAATGCGTTAGCTATTTCCTATTCTTTATACATTTCTGCACTATTCACTGGATTTTCTTAAAATTTAGAACTTATACCATATACATTATTTCAAATTCACTGATACTTTCTTTTGTGAGAAAAACCTCTCTGACAAAATTATACCTTCTCTTTTAACTAATAATTGTATTTTCAACTTATTAATCACTGGAACTATAGCATAAGTCTGACTTTACAACCTGAATAATCACAAATGAGAATAAATTAAGCACAAGAGAGTGGAAAGCAATTAAGGAAAAATGTTAAAAATAATAGTAAGATTAATAATCATCATCTAATGGAAGAAACAAAGCTCTAAGCAATAAAAGCCAGAATCAGGAAGTGAAACTTTAAGACCAAATAAAAATGTATATCACATCAGTCTTTACTAAATTAATAATTACATAATAATTTGCTATTGTTTTGGTGTTACAAATTACCTTTATACCCCACCTCCCCCATAGATAAATACATCAAAAATATTAGATTACGTACTCCAATATGCTATAATGTCTATATACTGAGATTCACAGTTTCTGGACTTATTTTTCCACCACTTAAACTGTGGATCATTGCTATCATATGAGAATGCTTGTTCAACTCCTCTTGCTGAAGTTTCACCACTGACTCTTTCTCTTCCAAACGACCTTCTAGTTGGGCCTTTTGAACCTCTAGAGAGGAAGCCTAAAAAATTAGACAAGGGGCAGGAGAGAATCAGAAAAAGAATTTAGCATGCTTTCTCTTCACAGATACTTTAAGATGTCTTTATTTTTTATTTGAAAAACAACCATTTCAAAAGACATCACAAATGTTACTTAAATTATGTGTAACTTGAAGGTATTAAACGAATAATATACAATAAGAACATAAATTCAACTTCTTTTAAGTCAATGCCAGCAGTTGGAATTTTGCAGAAAACACTACATATTACATACTAGATTTAAGACAACCACATCAAAATGGAAACAGGAAATATGTAAATATGGCATTAAATTTTATGCCTCTATTGTGACTTATGTTTTGCAGTAGTTTAAACAGTCTTAATCCTGGTTTGCTCTTATCTATCCAGTAGTAGATTAACCAGAAAGTACTATTGATGGCCATCACACTCAAGCATGCGACCACAATAATGGAGAATGAGGACTGGACTTAAATTCAGAATACAGAAGTAACTATCATTCCACTTGCTTTGTGACGGGCAAGTAATTTAACCTAGGACTCAAGTTTCATTTGTAGGTTGAACTTAATTATTAGTATTATATATTAACATATTTGTTGAAGTAACAAAGATTAAGAAGAGGTTTCAGAATCTTTTGAAAATTCTGTATTATATGATCTTTATTATTAATATTATTGCCATCTTGTAAGAAGAGATACAGCTACATGACAATATACAGCAACCTGTACATATCATCAACTGAGAACCTCTTTCTATATTCTTTGCCCAACTGAATATAGTAAACAGTGGAAAACAGTTACATATCTGATAAATGTTTGATGATTTAAAAAATATATAGGGTTCACATTGTAAGAGTCCTCAAACAATCTTCAAATCACTTTGACATCCTTGTATCTTATAAACAAAACTACTAAAGAACAGAGTATTAATTTATCCAACTTCACTTTTATAACAAAACAAGACTTTCTTGATTCTTACCTTAATGCTCAGATCTTTTCTTATCTGTTCTGTTCTGCTTAATTCTTTTCTAAGGATATCAATGCTTTCCTCCTTATCTTCCTTTTCTTTTTGTAATACTTTAATCTTTTCTTCTTGTACTTTTGTTTTTTGTTGCAAATCTTAAAACAAATAGACAGTCAGTAGATACATGCTAATAGGTTCATGAGTAGTATTACCCAAAAAAATATTTAATAGTACTTATAAGAGTAAGAGAAAGACAATCAGGAAGAAGAAATATCTTGCTGGAAAGAAAACATTTACAATATTTGCTGAATAGGCATCATAAACTCTTCCTCTTTGTCAGAATTCTTTAAAAAGTGTGAGATCTTCTTATTTCTCCTTTTCCCTCTTTTCTAAAGATATACTAGCGAGAGAAAGAAAAATCCTCAGACCTCAAAGATTACAAAAGAAAGGAAGAGAGAAAATTACAAAATTCATGAAGGTATGTGTCTGTGTGCTAGTTAAATGAATTAGAATAAAAATACTTTGTGGAATATTTTTCAGAGCTACCACCATTAAAAAGCTAGTAACTAAAAGTTACCCAGCACTGCCACCTGCTGTCTTGTTCCTTTATTTTTATTTTTTATTTTGAAAAGGGCAATCATTTCCTACAACTTCCAGATTTTTTTTAAAAAATGTAGTTTTTTCAATTTGATATAAGCTGATCTGTGAAATATTATAGCAAGAAAAGGAGCACTGTTTAGGATGTGAATATAAAAGGAGAGAAGTAGAAAAGAATTAAAAAGCAAAATAAAAACCTTGTTTTTTCTTCCAATAAAAATATGATAAAATGCATATATAAAGAAGCAACTTACTTGCTAGCTTACATTCTCTGTCTACGAGTTGGTTATGTACTTCTTTTCTTTGTTCTTCTTTCTCTATTAATTGGGCAATAGTTCTGAAATTTAAATACAGAGTATCTATGAACCATATAATTTCTTTTCCTCCTTAACAAATATTTTGAGAAACTTCCTGAGAACAGTAATTATCCTTAAATTCTATCAAATATGTATTTATATCTAGATAGTAAAATAAAATGATGCTATTACTTTCAACAATCAAAACCAATATTCTTTTTTTGAAAAATCCGTAATAATTAAAAGAACTAGAGATTTTACTTTTCATTTTGTTGTTTGAGTGACTCGTTCAACTTCTTCACTGTCTCAATTTGTTTAGACAGAGAATCACATGTGATCTGTAAATCTTTATTCTTCTTATCAGCAGTTTCATTCCTAAAAGAACAAGATAATTTGGTATCTTTATGGAGGGAAACATAATGAAGAAAAGAAACTTACTGTGTTTTATTTACTATTTCTTTAACAGCACTACATACTTCACAGGTTAATAGGAGTCTTTTTATGAATAAGCAGGACATAGAGTTAGACAGAGATAAATCCAGAAGACAGAGATAAATTTTGCTGATAAAAATCACTATTAAAACGGTAACATCTATTGTCATTAACCTTGTATTTCTAGATATAGGGTTTTATTTTACAGATGCCATTGTATAATGATTTACTATAAAATAAACATTTTTATAGTTATGTCCAGAAAAATGAAACAACTTCTGTAAAAGAAAAAAAAATAACAATAGTATTTAACTGACATCATTAACCTCTTTGGCACAATCTATGTTTAAATGTCAATTTACAGTTGAGGATTCTAATTTCTCTTGCATCTTTAAAGCTCTGGACTTTATTGCTCTGTTTATTTTACCTGCAAGGTAAACACAAGAATTTTGGAAAATCCTTTCTAAAGAGAATCTCTGACAACCAACTATCTTAAGCATAAAATGTCCTTTTCACTTCAGTAAGTACAAAGCTAAACAAAGTAGTACTGGCCAAATTTGGTCAGCAAGAGTTTTACTTGCCCCATGCAAAATGTCTGAATTTCACTGCCTTCAGGTAGTCCCGATCATTACAAATGACATTTTCCCAGTCAGTTTCATTTATGTGTTCTCAACCTGGCCCCTAAAGGCAGGAATTTTACTTTCTGGCCCTCAATCATTATTGGTAATGGAAGCTGGGCCTAAGAAACCACATATTTCTCCTAAATTGCTGCTGGCTTTCTCTTATACTTTTGACTTAAAATTAACAGTCTACTTTATCAATGCTACTTCAAACAAACTTTTGGAAAAAGATGTTGCTATAAGAAAATATCCTGCTTAGAAATCAACTTTTCATCACATACTTTCTACCCTTCATTTTTATTATCATCATATATTTTCCACCTTTCATTTTTATTGGCAGGCAGTATTAGCATCTTGAAAAGTTAAAAATTTCTCTTCTCTATATTAATTGCATAGGACAGTAGGGCATTTTTTTCAAAACCTAACCAGTCTTCAACTCTGTATTAAGAAATGGAACAAGTTGGGCCCTCCCTGGTGGCACAGGGGGTTAAAGCTCAGCACTAAGAAGCTAAAGCCACTTCAGTATGAGTTGGATCCCGCCCTGGAGGTGATCCACACGGTGTGGCAGACCTCTCCTGACCTGCCCGCTGCTCCCTGTAGCATGTACTTCATCAATCGGCCTGTTCTGCTCCCCATGCTTTCTCTGGTGAATCCTCTCGCCACCCCTATACCTCTGGCCCACACCCCAGTTCTATATGCACAAATAAATAAATCTTTAAAAAAAAAGAAATGGAACAGGTAAACAAGAATGCTTTTACTTTACTTTTGAAACAAAATATATAATTTTCTCCCTTATTATACTTCAGCAGTTTAACAACAAAAGACTCAATCTCATATTGTGTTAGTCTATGTATAAATTGGAATAATCTCTCTTTGGAAAGAAACCTGGCAATATCTACCAGAAAACTTAAAAGCACATATACCCTTTTAATCCAGCAATTCACCTACAGGAATTTACTAATAAATATAGTGACACATACCCGTAAACTATATTCAATGATATCAAGGTAAAATATTGCTACAAATTAAAGTTTAATTACAAAATACCCAAATTTCCATACTATTAGACTAAATGATGTGAAGTTATTAATATTCTACCATTTTTAAACTGCAGAAAGGATTAATTACTGTTTTTCAACCTAATACAATTAAGTTGTGGCAATTAAATTAACTCAATAATTATTGACAGAGTGCCAAACTATGTACCAAGCAGTTATCTAGATTCTATGGATTTGTTAGAATCCAACAAAATAGATGAAACTTATCCACTTGTCTTTGTGGTGCTAACATCCCAGAATGATTAAATGAATAAATAAAAGCAGATATAACTAGAAATGAATAAACAGACCTGTAGTCTATTCCCAACTTTGACACTGAGCTTGAATAAGCAATATGTCATTTCATTATTACTTAATCTTCCTGTTAAATTCTTACCATGTGGTGCCATCAAAATACACACACACACACACACACACACACACGCACACACACACAGAATATTAGAGATACAGAAAAGAAATACTATGTGTTAATTCTAGATTCTAGTCTGACAGAGAAACTTTTATACTATTAATTACCTCTGAAGAAGTTCCATGTAAGATTTTGTTAGTACTTCATGTTCCTGAGCTACAGACTCTAACTTCCTGTTATGCTGAAAGAGTTGTTCAATATCACTCTGGGCTCTTTCTGATTCAACTTGTTGTGACTTTATCAACATTCCAAGCTCTTCATTTTTTCTCTCAACATCTCTCAACATACCAGCAAGTGTTCGTGCCTAAAGGAAAATGGAATAAAGAATTTTACACTATCATCTACATAACATGCTCAGTTTCTACAATTTAAATGGTTTACCAAACATCTAATGCTAGCATCAACTGGGTTATACAAAATTTAATTAGTCATATTATTTCTTACATAATTACTTCTAATCCAACACTGCTATATTCTTTTACTTAATAAGTTGTTCTAACAAAAACAATCTTGGTGTGTTATATTCATGGAAATGAGCATAAAAAAATGGGGACACTACCATTTTCGTGATGGTTGAAATCATGAGTCACTTAAATAAGGAAAAAACACAATGCGGAGAAAATTCAACTTTCAAGAACTGAGTGGAGAAAAAAGAAGCTCCCAAAGAATATAGGAAAAGAATATCCATTAGGTTAGTTAGAAAGAAAAAGCAGAAAACAATGATGTAACAAAATAAAGTGGGAAGAGTGGTGAGATGGTAGGAGCTGTTGTACCAAATGCTTAAGACAATTTTCTTCAATTAGAGGAACAAAGATGAAACTACTATTTTGTATATGGTTAACTTCATTTATTCCCTGCAGGTCAGATGAGTCTTACACTAGTGCTAGTCAGGTGTGGTACATACCTCTGTCTCAGCTTGAGTTCTCTGGCAGCGATACTGAGCAATCAGTCTATCTGCTTGTGCAAGGGCCAAAGCCTTGGCTTCCAAGAGATCTTGCAGCCTACTTTCTTTGGACTATGAGAAAATATACCATTAATCTTCATTGTTTATAGGACAACAGCTATTAAAGTTTAATTGGTATTCGGGGTTTAAATAAATTTGTACTCACAGCCAACGTGGACAATTTCATCTCATATACATCCATTATGTCAGATATTCTCACATCACTAATCTGATCCTTTACCTAGGTCATAATAGTCAAAATTTTATCTCAACAACAACAAAACACAATAAATTCCTACTATGAAATAAATCACTACAACATAATGAGGCACAAAGTCAAAGATGAATGTCATACTAGTTAGGTTCCAAAGTTTTTACCAACCTGCCTACTGCAGAAAAGTATCTAGGTAGATCTGGTATGCTTATGGGAAGATACACCTTAATTCTTATGGTGGGTTTACAGAGGGTGTGCTGACTGGGGCAGATCAGGGAACAATGATAGCTATGTTAAAATATTGGAATTTTAAGACTGACTTTTTATTTTCTCACCAAACTGTCCAGTTTTATTTAAAATAAGGCTCTAATGCTCAAATATGCACCCAATTTAAATAATTTTTATAAACAGAGCTGGTATTTACTTGGTATGTACTGGGCAGAATTTCATTTATAAAGGCTACTTATCACTCACCACAACTCCAGATTGAAGTTTTTCTATTAATTCCTCAATGTTCAGTCCAGGAACTCTATCTTTCAAAAGTGGAGGAGTTGAAGACTTTACTGATGTTGGAAAACTGTGATTTAATGGTTGTGAAGGCATTCTTCTGGGCAAATGTTCTGTTTCTTGTTGTCTGTAGGCATTATTTGCTGCTATACTTTCTCCAAGCCTGAATGGAAGTCAAAAAGAAGAGAAATAACTATATCAAAATACAGCAAAAGGCAGAGTTAGTATAGTATTAGGAAATATTTCAGAATGGGTATTTTTAAGAATGATTTTTGAAGTAATCCTAGAGTTTATATTGAATTGGGGCTCTCGGAAATATAAATTTGTCAGAGGAAATCTTTTTTACCTGTAACTTTTTATAATGGCAACTCCAACTTTGGTTTGGAGGCACTAGAACCAATGCATCAATGCAAATTATTCATAAAAATTCAGTAAGTTATTGGTATTGGAAAGAACGTCCTTAATCATGGGCAACATCATTTGGACTTTACCTATGTCCTTTACCCTCTCTGTTCTCAATATATTTTCATCAAGCTGACTTCCAATCTTCCCTCCATTTATTCTGTTTCCAGGCCTTTGAATGAGCTGAGGCTCTTTTTTTTTTTTACCTAAAACCTATTCCCACCAGATCTGTATAGTATTGACTCTATATCATTAAGTTCCAGTTCATGCTTCCTTGTCCAAAGAAGACTTTTCACCCACAGTGAAATATGCATTATAAAACTTTTCTTTATAACTTGTCTCCCACCTAGAGTGTAAACTTTGTCACAGACTTCAGTCTAATTTACTGCAAATTCAAAATGTCCAGCTTAGGGGTGACATACAGCAGGCCCTCAACTGACATTTGTTAAATGTTTAAATACAACAAATAGACACCAAAATCCTGCCTACACATCCATTCAGCATAAAAATTCACCATATTTGGACCCTCCCTGGTGGCGCAGTGGGCTAAAGCATAGCACAAAGAAACTTAAGCCACTTCCTCAGGAGTTCAATCCCCGCCTGCCTCGGAGGAGTCCACATGGCGTGGCAGACCTCTCCTGACCCGCCCGCTGCTCCCCTCAGCAGTGTACTTCGTCCATCTGCCTGTTCTGTTCCCCACTCTGTCTCTGGTGAATCCTCTCACCCTCGGCATCTCTGACATGTACCCCAGTTCTGTACAAATAAATAAATAAATCTTAAAAAAAAAACAATTCACCATATTTAACTTAGATAATATAAACAAAGGCATAAATGAGCATAAATAAAATAAATGGAGAGAAATAGACTTGTGATAGTGTCCAAAGAAAAATCTTAAAACATAAACAAGACTGAATGAAGGTAAAGAACATGAAATGGTGGGAAGGTCTCGCGTACAGAGACAAAGGCCGAGACTCCCACTTGTAATGAAGTTGAAGCTTTTCATTCTGAAGCATGAGGGCTTGGCTGCTGTCAGATTACCAGTTGGAGCAAGTGTGTGACCACAAAATGAAGCACTGTCACACTTTTTTTGGGCAACTTGAGAGTTGCCTATTTGTTCATTTACTTGCCAAAAAATAACAGAAAGGTAATATTGCTTATATAGTTTCTAGGTCTTCTATTCCATACCTCTTTAATCTCTTAATTTATGACTACGTAAGTTATTAATTCTGAAAAAATGGATTTGGTGAGTAAATTCATAGACTACAGCAGAAATTAACAAGTTTTTTAACAAAGAAGTAAATACTTTAGGTTTGAAGGTAAGTAGTATTATCTCTACTGGAGCTATCTGTGATGTTGGAGCATGACTGTAGACAAGAACAAATACAACATGAAAATAAACGGGCTCCTTGTTCCACTAAAAGTATACTTACAAAAATAGATTGCCATACTTACTATAATTTGCTAAGACCTGGTATATATATTCTATATATCTACTTATTAACTGCTTCCGTTTATTCAAACCACTTCTGTAAATTCAGATAGACTACTTCAAAACGAAAATATATCTCTACTAAACATTTTGTCAACAATATACAGACTATCCTCTCAAGCCTTAATTTTTCCACCATAATTGAAAATTATCTCTAAATGCCTGAAATTAATGAACACAGTGGACAATTTTGCCCGGTCACTATTTACATGACTGTCTGATGAAAGCACAGCATATTTCTTCAGTAATCCTCTCAACTACCCCATTCAATCTTTTTAGTTCATGTAGTTATCATACGTGAACCCTTCCTTTGGGAAATGAACCAGACATACTCAAAAAGAGTGAAGTTTACACTCAAACAAGTAGAAAGGAAAAGCGCTTTCTATGGAGAAACTAGACTGGTAGGAAATAAAATTCATCTTGAAGCTATGAGAGCCATGAGACAAAGAAAGGCATACTACCTTTCAACTAGGGTCAAGCTTTCCCCTGAGTGAATTCACACCAAGTCTTTTAGTTATGGGAATTGAAGGTTTTTTTAAACCACTTGAAAAATTACTTATACAGTGATGTCTTCAATTCACTAATTTTTGAACCTGTTTATATCAGAAACTATTAGAGAAACTGCATGACATTCCAGCAACATATGAGAGATAATGCAAATGATTACAACTCACACTAAAGCAGGGAAATCGGGCAGTGGAGCAGCTTCCAATAATATTCCCAATCCAGACTGTACTTGTTCTCGATTATCTGATGTTAAAGCAAAAGCCAAGGGAGTAACCAAGCGCGAATCCTAAGAAAATGCAGAAATCAGAAAAAAAGATCCAGATCTTTTATAGTAAGGTAAATAATCAGAATCAAACCCATAAAATAGTCTGGGAAATTTTAAAAAATGTTTCTACCTGATATGTGAAACATATTAGATCTTTACTTTATATACTTAATTGCATTAATATGAAGGAAGACTAACTTAAAAAAAAAACTTGCGATAGGCCCCTCCCTGGTAGTTCAATGGTTAAAGCACAGCATTACAAAGCTAGCCACGGCCACTTCAGCATGAGTTTGATCCCTGGCCCTAGAGGTGAACCACATGGCCCAACAGATGAGACTTTGCCTGTCTCACCTGCTGCTCCCCTCAGCAGTGTACTTCATCAACCTGCCTGTCCTGCTCCCTACTCTATTTGTCGTAAATCCTCTCACTGCCCCTGCACCTCTGGTCTGTATGCTTAAATACATTTTAAAAAAATA